AAAATTGAAATAATAATCTGCAAAACTATTTTGGAAAATTAATATGTTTAAATAAATTTATGATAATTGAATATTTTAATTTTTGATTTGATTGACAACCAGGATTTTGATTTGATTTAGTTGTTAATATTATGTATTTTGTGTAACTAATTGTGAATTATTTGCAGAAGAAGAAATACTAAGAGAATGATTGTTTGTATTGTAGGATGAAAGAAAAAAGAAAAAAGGGTAGTATTAAAGTTAGTAAAACAGCATTGCAGCTTGAGAATCACTTTTCTAATGGCCGTCATCATTTCCGGCAGCAAGACAATTCAAGGCGTTGTGGATTTAGATTGAAACAACAATAGCATAAAAAAAATAATCAATAATTGTATTTACCTGCGCATTTGTGCGGAGAGTAACCTAATATAAAGTATGTTATACACTTATGCTCCATTTATTAGGAATGACTTAATAACTACAGTTTTGACCTTTTATTTGGTCATATGCCCAACAATATATCTTGAACTTATGGTTAATATTTTTTAAAGTAGAATATATATTAAATAAAAACGACAAAACTGACAAACCATAATTTGTTTTACTAGTAGATCTTTACATGATACTATGTTCATTGTGAAAAAAGAGAGAAACAACTCATGTTATAGGATAGGTCTTAGGTTTGTTACTTCTATGCATGAAGTCAACAGTAGCTTCAGGTACTAATACCATATTTTGTAAATTCTAGAAGATGCATATGAATTTAATTCTCACAAACAATAAACGCTCATTGTATGGCAAAGATTATTATAATGTTGCCGGTTGATAGCGAAATGATTCCTAAAGATCTTTTCCTACTAATTTTCTACGGAAGGCAAAAGATTAGGAGATGCCTAAATGGAGCAATGAGAGCATGTGATGTCAAAAGTCTACTTGGATGCAAAAAGTCAACATTTTTAAAAGTCAAACTAATCGCTCTGAGAAGTAGAAAAATTGTTTGTTTTGGTCAATTTTGCTCGTCGACAAACATTTCATTCAATTCCCAAACCAAACAAGTAAAAACACACAGAGAAGAAACCAATTCGATCGAAACTCTTTACGAAAAAAAAAGTGAAAAGAGAATTTCTCTCAATGGATCCGTCGGAGTACTTCGCCGGCGGTAATCCTTCCGATCAACAGAACCAGAAAAGGCAACTTCAGATCTGTGGTCCTCGTCCTTCACCTCTCAGCGTCCACAAAGACTCTCACAAGATTAAGAAACCTCCCAAGCACCCTGCGCCGCCACCGCATCGCGACCAAGCGCCGCCGTACGCCGCTCGAGAGCCGGTAGTTATCTACGCCGTTTCGCCGAAGGTCGTGCACACCACAGCCTCCGATTTCATGAACGTCGTCCAGCGTCTCACCGGGATTTCCTCCGGGGTTTTCCTCGAATCCGGAAGCGGCGGAGATATCTCACCGGCGGCGAGGCTAGCTGCGACGGAGAATGCTAGCCCGAGAGGAGTAAAGGAACCGGTGGCTAAAGATGAGACTGTGGAAATCGCGACGGCGATGGAGGAAGCAGCTGAATTCGGTGGTTATGCGCCGGGAATACTCTCGCCGTCTCCGGCTATGTTGCCGACAGCTTCTGCCGGTATATTCTCGCCGATGATACATCAAGGTGGGATGTATTCGCCGGCGATACCGCCGGGATTGTTTTCGCCGGGGGGATTAATGAGTCCGTTTCTATTGTATAGTCCTGGTTATGCTAATTTGGCTGCTTCGCCCACTTTTGCTGAAGTCTTTAATCATATTTGGGATCCTTAGAATAGAAGAAAGGTTTTAGAAATATTATCATTTTCGCTCTGTAATTTTTATTCATTTTGACAAATATCTAAAAATAGCCCAAAGGGTTAAAATCGAGCTTAATGTAAACTATAACATCTCTTATTTTAACTTCAAAAATTTCAGATATAACATCTCCTACAAGAAAGTAAAAGTTTCTGCAAACTATATACAGGAGATACAAAGATTCTCCTGACCTAAGAGATACTATATTAAGTAGTTCCAAGTTTCTTCATGTGGCCGCAACAACAGAGTTCCAAGTTCCTCCGATCAATGTACCAACTCTCTCTCCTTTGATGGCTTTCGCAATGTTTCCAGGCTCAGATAGATTGAAAACCACAACTGCAAAAATTATACAGACCAAAACAACATTCTCGTTGAATTTTAGATGATCCTGTGGTTTTAAGGTTTGAGAGAGTGTTTAAAAAAAAAACAAACCTGGGATGTTATTTTCTTGGCATAAAGTGATAGCAGTCATATCCATCACAGAGAGATCCTTTGAGGTAACTTCTTGGTAAGTTAGTGACTCGAGGAGACGAGCGTTAGGGTTTCGTTTAGGATCATCGTCAAAGACTCCATCAACATTTGTTGCCTTCAGCACTACTTCGGCGTTAACTGTGTCAAAAAAGCGAAAAAGTGTTCTTTTTTTTGTTTGTTTTTCAACGATGATGCGAACGAAACAAAATGAAACACTGGAGAAAAACTTACTTTCGGCACATCGAAGAGCAGCTGCAGTATCGGTGGTGAAGAAGGGGTTGCCTGTTCCGGCTGCAAATATCACAACCCTGCCTTTCTCTAAATGTCTTATCGCTCGTCTTCTTATGTAAGGCTCTGCGACTTCCGACATGCGGAAAGCGGTTTGAACACGTGTTGGGATGCCTATACTCTCCATTGTCGCTTGAAGAAATATTGCGTTCATCACAGTTGCGAGCATCCTATCAAGTTTTAGATGAACGAATGAGACCAAAAAGGGAGATTTCGTTTGGGAGTAAGAGGAACAAGATAACTAGAAAGTTCAGAAAAAAAGACAAGAATGGATTTTGATACCCGATATAATCTGCAGAGGAGCGGTCAAGGCCACTGCACCCAGCCCAAGTGGATCCACGAAAGATGTTTCCTCCTCCAACAACAATCGCAACCTGCTTGCAAAACCATAAGAAGGATCAAGACAGAGCATATAGGACTCTGCAATGCCCAGGACCCAGACCCATCATCCCTCACGAATGTTTAGACTTAAGCTCCCGTTTCTTGTAAGTTTGAACTAATTAGTTTTCAACACAGTTCGTAGCTTCTAACACAGGCAATCATCACTACTTCGTGTACTAGAAATCGCATTTCATCAATGCTTTGTGTCAATAATCTAAGAAAATACTGCTCAACCAGCTGAATCCATATAGTTACAGTTACTCAATCACAGATAGATGAAAAATGTTTGGGGATAACCTCAATGCCAAGGCGAGTCACTGCTGCAACCTCCCTTGCAATCGACATAGTAACCTAATTAGATTAGTGGGAAGATGGATGAGAGACTTCAGGAGACGGAAAACAGAGAACAAGCAGAATCAATGAGAGTTTTTTTTTATCATTGCATCACAAAAAAAAAACCTTTGGGTCGATATTCTGTTCCTCGTCTCCAGCAAGAGCTTCTCCACTGACTTTGAGTAAAACCCTTCTCCATTTAAGCGGTGGTTTCGATGCTCCATCGAACGAAGGCATCCCAGGAAACGATGACTGTCCGTTTAACCCACTGAAAAAATTGGCAGCACAAATTTAACAAAAGTATACAGAGCTCAGAGATATCATGATGGGTTTAAGATTTACTTACACAACAGCAAAAAAAAATTGGATTTTGCAATATATATTAATCAAATCCTAAAACCCTATAGCCAAAAGTGAGGAATATTCACAAACACCTGGTGGGCGTGTAAGGTTAGAAATTGAAGAGTGATAATACCTTCCGTTCGTAGACTCTGGAGCTGAACCATTGTTCGAGGACAAAGACGAAGAGCAGCTGATGAGTACACGCCGGCTGAAATTCTGATCGGAGAAGAAATAACGGTGACGTGGTCTGAGCAGAGGGACGAAAGAAGTTCGGGAAATAGAAGAGGTTGAGATTAGCGAGTAAGTGGTGAGGGGCAACGGAATCGCCATTGCCGGAGAGAAAAATTGAGATCTAAGGGGGAGACGACGCTGATGATTTACTGATATGTTCAGTAGAGAGAAGCTTTCGCCGGCAAATAAGGGGTTTTGAGTCTGCGAAGATAAGGTCTGCTTCGGATTTGATTAACTAAAGTAACTAGTTCCCACAGTGCTGTGATGTTGTTGTTGTTATATTCTTTTTTAAAAAAATAAAATTTATATAAAAAAACCTACAGAATTCAGTATATTTAAAGTGTAAAAGAAAAAATTGAATGCAATTTATTTTAAAAATGATATTTATAGTTTTGTAATTTTTTGATACATGTCGAAACGTATTTAGATTTTAACATTTGTAACATCAAATTAGAATAGTTAACATTTCCTTTCAGATTCCAGAAATTAAACAATTAGCTACAAATGTTATAATTTCCTAATTAACCTAAACTGTGGAGTATATTCTGAAAATTGCATAGTCAGAGGTTTATTTGTTCTCCAGTGATCAATCGATCACTCAAACGAAGCACTCAAAGCTTTCCAAATTTCAAATCAAGAATCAAGAATCAAGAATCGTCACAAATCTCCCCATATAATATGAAGCATTTTTAAATTGATAGATGGGCTGGAAAGAAAAACATTTAAAACCCATCCTACAAGAAGTGAAGAAGAAGTGAGAGAAGATGTAAATTTCTTAACGTTCAAGTTTTAACACTTCGCTACTAATTAAATTCTTACAAAACTGAGATTAAATTCCTTTCTTCGCAATGGCGTAAAAGTGAGTAATACTAAAGCTAAATCTTTTAGATATTCACAAGAAAACTTTAAAAGTAAAAATCAAACAAAAAAATGAGGGAAAAAAGAAAATCTTGAAATATTTCTACGTACGAACGGTCAAGAATTATCGGTATTGTAATGTTGAATACTTGAATCTCTCTCTCTCTCTCTTTTTCAGTTTTTGTCCTTTAACCCTTCCTTCAAAGACAAGTCACACCACTCTTTAAACACTTTTACACATGTCTCTGTCTGAATAACGGAGAGCTCTGTTTGCTTTTGCAGAAATTATTTACGACCAAGTTTACACATACACAAAACGTCTCGGTTCTTGCGGCCTTGCGGGAGTTAAAGCAACCGCTAAAATGGATACTGAAAAGGGTTATCCCAGAGGTTTCAGAGCAGACAGTCTACGACCAGAAACCGGCCGCAGAAGTTTTCGGTCAGATAGTATGCAGCTCGATGAAGCACACGAGCTACCACAAGGCGTGATAGCACAAGAGAATTCGACTTATCTCGTCCTCTTCAAGAACATAGACAGTGGAAACTTGGAAGCCACGAAAGATTTCTTGGACCGAAACCCTGAGGCTTTGACCGCAAGCTTAACCTCCAACGGAGACAGACCAATCCATAAAGCCGTTTTGTCGGGTCACATCAAGATCGTGGAAGAGATCATAAGACAAATTCACAATCCAGAGCAAGTCTTGGAGATCAAGAACGATAATGGTTACACGGCGCTTGCTTATGCTGCGACTGGTGGGATTGTGAGAATCGCAGAGTGTTTGGTGGATAAATGTCCCGGTTCGGTTAGTGTTCGGAATGCGAAAGAGCATATACCGATCGTGGTGGCTTCGCTGTACGGTCACAAAGATCTGGTTCGGTATCTTTATAATCACACACCTCTCAGTGATCTTGATCCTTGTGATGAGTCAGATGAACACAAGGGCAAGAACGGAGCGATGCTCGTGACCAATTGTATTGTTGATGGACTATATGGTAAGTTCCTAATGATATACATAATTATGTATGATAATTGATATGTTCATAAGATGTGGCCAATGTGGCGTATATGTAAAGGTATTGCTTTGGATCTGATTCAGAGGTATCCTAAGCTGGCTTATACTAGAGACACTGATAACGATACAGCGATCATTGCGCTTGCTCAAACGCCTTGTGCGTTCCCTAGCGGTACCCATCTTGCGTTTTGGCAACGCTGGGTATATTCTTGTGAGTATAGTTAGCTTTTATATATGCTTATTAGATGAAGATTATATAAAACGTTTTTTTCAGATTTTTCTTACTATTAGAAAGTTTTGTTGGGATTGCGAATTTATAGATCGTAAAATTCATGGTTTTTTTTTCCTTGAAGGCATTCACATAGAGAAGATTAATAACCCTCATGAAGTTATGAATCATCATCACCATAGATACAGGATATCAGAAAATTATCAATGGATTCAAGAGAAGTTGTTGAAACACCTCAAATTTCTTTGTAAGCAGTATAAATCATTTCACATTATATGTGAGCCCTAGATGGTTATATATGTTGATCAATTTTATATGAATATTTATGGCAGTTCCACACATAAGACTCGTATACAAACTAAAGCTAGGGCATGCTCAAGCCAAAGAGATACTAGAATGTATCTGCCAAGAGATACCTAACTTTGATGCGACTCAACAGAAAGATGCGGGTCTAAACCAAGCTCTCTTCAAGGCGGTAGAGAATGGTATCGTCGAGTACATCGAGGAAGTGATGAAGCATTATCCTGATATCGTGTGGTTCAAAGATAGTTATGGTCTTAACCTCTTCTTCTACGCGGTAAGTCAGAGACAGGAGAAGATCTTTAGCCTCATTTACAAAATGGGTGCTAAGAAGAACATCCTCGCTACAGCTTGGGACAAACTCCATAACAACATGCTTCATCACGCCGCGTATAGGCCCCCAGCTTCGCGGCTTAACCTCATTCCCGGTGCTGCTCTTCAGATGCAAAGGGAAATACAATGGTTCAAGGTGATATATAACCGTTTCTTGTTATACACGAAACTATGTGTAACATGCAAAACTCTGTTTCAAGTTGTCTTCTTCCGACCACAAACCTAAAAGTCTATTATCTTTGCCTTGTTTGCAGGAAGTGGAAAGGCTAGTGCAACCGAAGCATCGAAAAATGATTAACTTGAAGCAGAAGAAAACTCCACAGGCTCTGTTTAAAGACCAACACAAGGATTTAGTTGATCAAGGAGAGAAATGGATGAAAGAAACAGCAACTTCTTGCACAGTCGTGGCGGCTCTAATTACCACAATGATGTTCTCATCCGCGTTTACTGTCCCCGCAAGCTACGACAGTAAACCAACATTATTCATGATCTTCATCATCTCGGACGCTATATCTCTCTTCACCTCATGTATGTCTCTGCTCATGTTCCTCGGCATTCTCAAGTCTCGTTACCGCGAAGAAGATTTTCTTCGATCACTTCCGACGAAACTGATCGTGGGTCTTGCGTCATTGTTTCTCTCGATGGTGACGATGATGGTGAGTTTTGTCGTGACGCTCATGACTCTGGTTACATTTAAAGGGGGAAAGAGATGGATTTCAGCTCAATTTATGTTGCTGGCGGTGATTCCGGTGGGGATGTTCGGTGTTCTTCAGTTTCCGGTGCTATTTGAGATCTTCCGCTCGACTTATTTCCCTAGAGTTTTTGATAAGCCTCGCCAGTCTCGGCGAATGTTTAAGCTCCGCTCGAGAGAATAATTGATATATAATCAAATTTTATCATTTGTAACCAAAGTTATGGAACACAGTCGTCGACTCATCGAGATATGATCAGAGGTTACTCGACCAAGTTCTCTATTCATTTGGATTTTGATCAGAAGTATCTAGCTAGTTTTATTCTCCGACTAATTAATGATGGTCCTTGAGATGATGGAGAAATAAAAGATGTATTTTGTTTTACAAGTATAAGTATGAGACGCAGGACCGTGCCTATGTAGAAAAAAAAAGAAACCTTCGCCTACATTTATTAATTTTATATAGATTTTAGTGAACAATATTTATAGTTATGTTTATGTGGTATTTCTTTTATTTGTTAATATCTTTTCTAGAAAATTAAAACCAGTCTATCAACATAATGTCTAAGATAGTTATGTAAATCTATAGCCTAGTTTGCTAAAATATATAGTAAGTTTCAAAATGAAATATTAGATTTCTGTTCTCGATAATTGATTATTCATATCATTTATTGTTTCCGTTTTTTCTTATGTTGTGTTTATTAACATCTTTATTAACTTTGTTCATCTACACTTCTCTATATCATATATGTATATAGTACATGCAATTTTTTTTTTAGTTTTGCCTATGGCCTTAAAACCTTTAGGCACGGCTCTGATGAGACGTTATTGAAGAATCACAAGACTGCTTATATAGGCAATGCTCCAAAGTTCAAAAATAGGTCTCAATTCAAGAAAAAGGATATATGGTTTATTGTTGGCTGGCCCAAGGAAAATATCTACACTAGGTTATTTCTGTTCTGCCATATGTGAAACAAAATTCATCTATTTCATTTTTTTTTTAGTGTTCAGAACTTTGATCTTGATTTGCAAGAACAACTCTACAATATAACTTTTAGTATTCGATATATTTCTTGTAGGAATTTCACAATGTTCACTTTGTCACCAAAAAATGCTATTTGGTGAAGATGTAGGCCCTTGAATGTACAACATACGAAAATACCTTTGCTTTGCTTTCCCTTTTTTTTTTTTTGGTTAAAGGGTTGCTTTGCTTTGCTTCCAATACAATATCACTTGTCAGTTACATGTTCATACGTATATGTGTATATACGTATATGTTCATCCGCACACATATGAATAAACTTATATTTCGTTATTCGAATAAAAATTGTGTTATTATATAATATCTTGAATCATACGTAGCGACGGGTGCAAGGCTCCTATCAAAACCATTTTTTGAACTTTCAAGTCCCCACCTTTCTCCTATGTTTTCAGCTCTTGCGTCAGTCCTCTGATCGACACATGTCCCTCCCTGTCTTTATCTTTCCAAGTGCTGCTAATGAAGCTTAGAAGTTAATTAATTAAACTATTTAATCTCGTACCATTTTTCAGAATTTGTCAATTATTTTATAGTTCTTTCATCTAAATCATATACTTTTCAGTAAAACGCTTGTGAAAGATATATGAAAAAAAGCTTCTGTAGTTCAATCTCTCTGGATCAAACGCGTCAAATGTATCTATCCATCGGTGAAATAAAAACGTGACATCGACCCACACAAAAAATTAACTATTATATTCATACTATTCTATTCCTAATTGACCAAGTTCACATTTTATTTGATATTTTATTTTCCCAACGACGACCAACATTAGATTTCCCTTTTCATCTAAGATATTCAAACATTATTCAGAAGTTTGTCGGAATATAATATGAGCTTGATTAAGCGGTAGTTGTTTCTACACTAATCTCAGTTAGTTAAACCACAAAATCAAGATTAATATATTTTGGGATAAATCAATAAATAAATTGAAATTCAAAACACTCAAAAGTTTGGTGGAAGCAGTTCTTGAAAGGACCTCTGAACCTTGCAAGCCATGAATCAGTGTATTATTGTGCTAGCTGTCTTGTTGTCTTGCCTTATCTTCACCTTACTTTGCCACCAAGGTTTAACAACACGTTATACATATTTTTTGGTATTATTATCAATTTCTGATTGTTTATAGTAACGGTTGCTTTGTTATTAAAATACGTCACTCATATATTTGGTCATGTTTCAAAACACCCAAAACCAGAAAATTTTCAATCTAAGCAAATAGTTAATTACATTGTTAACTAATTATCGATGCGCGTACACCAATAGTCAAAAATAGTGACTCAACGTTGTCAAATAAAGAAAACAATCTGGCTTGTTGTATTTTTTAAAAGGCTTAAATCTTCATTTAAAAAAAACCATAATAATAATGAAAATAAATTATGGTCGTCTTTACAAAGAAATGATTAAAGTTTGGTGGACATATATATATCAATCCTGAGAAAGTTACAAACTCAGAATGGAGTCTAAAATAAAGCGTGCAAAATTATCCATAATGGAGAATCATTTTTTTTTAAAAAAAAAATCTTATACTTTATTAATTAGCTTGATACAATATAATATACATCAGATTAACTTGAAACTGCTTTGACACAATGCATCTTGGACATTATTGGAAATCATGTTATATATAAAAAAGTAAGTTATCTTAGAAAAATCACGGGAAAATAATTAAAGAATAAACAAATTTGTATTTTCGTTGAAAAAAGTGGTTCATCCAAATACTTTTTTCTTATTTCCACAAAAACAAATACAGAAAGAATAAATAATGAAATATTGATATAAGAGAATTATAAGAGACGTTATGTCTCACCTATATTTCCCTCTCCTCTCCCTTGTCCAATTCTAGTGTCTCAAACCTTTAGTTTTATATGGCAAACTCTCCTGCCGCTGCTGCAGCCACTGCCGCAACCGGAGACTCTCGGCGCCGCCTATCCGCTTCTATGTAAGAACATATTACTCTCTCATTATCCATAAATGATTTATAATTAATTAGACGAAATAAATCGTCTATAAGGTTTGTGTTTGTGATTTTCTTAACTTTTAAGCAGTGAAGCAATATGCAAGAAGAGATTCCGGAGAAACAGCAAAGGCGGTGGCAGATCAGATATGGTGAAACCGTTTAATATCATAAATTTTACGACACAAGACAAAAACAGTAGTTGTTGTTGTTGCGGCAAGTTTCAGATCGTGAAGGTTCTCCTGTTTATCCTTGTATCTGCTACTATCTTCACCATCATATATTCCCCTGAAGCTTATCATCATTCTCTTTCCCACTCTTCTTCTCGGTAAATTTTTTTCTTCCTTTTTCATACCCAAAATAAACAATCTTGACCTCAAATTGTTCAAATGCAAAAAAAACTGCTTACAATATATATTTTTTGTTTTTGTTTTTAAATATGAATTTTTATTTTTCATCATTTCTTTTTATAAATATCCCGTAAGTGATCCAAGTAGCAATTAGAATTTTTATTCTACCAAGATACTAAAAGTTCTGATTTATGTAATACGACCATATGTGAAAATTAGATGGATGTGGAGAAGACAAGATCCAAGATACGTTTCGGACCTGGACATTAACTGGGACGATGTGACCAAGACCCTTGGGAGCGTCGAGGAAGCCCGTACGATCGGCGTCTTGAATTTTGACTCGAACGAGATCCGACGATGGAGAGAAGTAGCCAAGAGTAAAGACAATGAGGATGAGGAAAACGTTGTTGTGTTGAATCTGGACTACGCAGATAAGAACGTGACTTGGAACGCACTCTACCCGGAGTGGATCGATGAGGAGCAAGAAACAGAGGTCCCTGTTTGTCCTAATCTCCCAAAGATCAAAGTACCTACAAGAAAACTCGATCTGATCGTCGTGAAGCTTCCATGTCGGAAAGAAGGGAACTGGTCGAGAGACGTCGGGAGATTGCATCTGCAGATGGCCGCTGCAACGGTGGCCGCTTCGGCTAAAGGGTTTTTCAGAGGACATGTGTTGTTTGTCTCTAGATGCTTCCCGATTCCAAATTTGTTTCGGTGTAAGGATCTCGTGTCTCGGAGAGGCGATGTTTGGTTATATAAACCTAATCTTGATACCCTGAGAGACAAGCTTCAACTCCCCATAGGTTCTTGTGAGCTCTCTCTTCCTCTCGGCATCATAGGTGAAACAAATAATCCCTTATTTACTTCTTTCGATTTGAAAATCAGTCATGCTAAGTTAATAATTTTATGAATTCTTCCATTGATTTTACAGAGAGACCAAGCTTAGGAAACCCTAAAAGAGAAGCTTACGCAACAATTCTTCATTCCGCTCACGTTTACGTCTGTGGAGCGATTGCGGCAGCTCAGAGCATAAGACAGTCTGGTTCGACGAGAGACCTCGTGATCCTCGTCGACGACAACATCAGCGGTTATCACCGTAGTGGACTCGAAGCCGCGGGTTGGCAAATACGGACGATACAGAGGATTCGAAACCCTAAAGCAGAGAAAGATGCTTACAACGAGTGGAATTACAGCAAGTTCCGACTATGGCAACTCACTGATTACGACAAAATCATCTTCATCGACGCGGATCTCTTGATCTTGAGAAACATCGATTTCTTGTTCTCAATGCCTGAGATCTCGGCAACAGGAAACAATGGAACTCTGTTTAACTCAGGAGTTATGGTGATCGAGCCTTGCAACTGTACGTTTCAGCTTCTTATGGAGCATATAAACGAGATTGAGTCCTATAACGGCGGAGATCAAGGTTATCTGAACGAGGTTTTCACATGGTGGCATCGGATTCCGAAACATATGAATTTCTTGAAGCATTTTTGGGTTGGGGATGAAGATGACGTAAGACGCAAGAAAACAGAGCTGTTTGGAGCAGAGCCTCCGATTCTTTATGTTCTTCATTACCTGGGAATGAAGCCGTGGCTATGTTACCGTGACTATGACTGTAACTTCAACTCCGACATATTCGTTGAGTTTGCGACAGATATTGCTCACCGACGATGGTGGATGGTTCACGACGCCATGCCACAGGTATGATAATACATCACACGACGAGGTTCACGTAACTTTTTTAGATTACTGACTTTATATTTTTCTTAGTTACATTTTAACACTAAAAACGCGAAAAATGTGCGATGATAATTTGCAGGAGCTTCACCAATTCTGTTACTTGCGTTCCAAGCAAAAGGCACAGCTGGAATATGATCGCCGGCAAGCCGAGGCCGCGGATTATGCCGACGGTCACTGGAAGATAAGAGTAAAGGACCCAAGATTTAAGATTTGCATCGATAAGTTGTGTAATTGGAAAAGTATGTTGCGGCATTGGGGAGAATCAAATTGGACCGACTACGAGTCTTTTGTTCCGACCCCACCGGCCATCACCGCCGCCCGGAGATCCTCGCTTCCAGGCCATAGCTTGTGACGGCGTGACGCGATACATATACACATATACACATATAAATGAATTTCGTGAGTTTTCTTTTTGCTGCGACATTAGGTGAAATTCAGATGTATAACTAATTTTTTGCCTATAGTTTTTCAATTGGAATAAAAATGGTTTTCTTATACTTTAATAACATGATGAAACATACATGTCGTATTTAGTTATTTACATGCTATATTTTATGATATTATTTGAATAATTTATTTAAAGAGACCAATTAGAAAGTTAAAATAAATACAAGAAAATATTTAAAAAGTTACAAAATACAAGTTATTTATACAAAACATATATTAGACTAAATTAAGCAATGTAAATTGTACTTCATACTCATAATCTCAATGCATTAAGCATAATGCTTGTGTGTGCTTGTGTAGAATGCATTCAAAGAACATATATTAAGCAAATGTAACTCTACATCATTCTCAACTTCCCAACTTCGTCGGATCATTATGTACCTGTGTAGAATGCATACATACAATTCAATTATATTAAGTGGCTGTATGTATGTGTAAAGATTTCCTTATTATTTAGCCAAAATACAAAGTTAATTACCTTTTTAAACCTACATCCTCGTTTAGCTTTGACATTAATTAAAAGGTAAATCATATAAAGAAAAGGAAATCGAATCTTACAGCTATAGTTAACATTAAATGACTGAGAGAGAAAGAGAGGTACCAAAAATAGAAAACGCGAATCAAGCTTCTTTATGTATATATATAAATTTCGAAAATAAATGAACAATGATCACAAACTCTTTTCATTCAATTCACAGTTTCAGACACAAACATAACGATGGCTTCTTCTTCGTCTTCTAATCCTTGGTCTTCGTCACCGAGCAAGAAGAAAACAACTAAATCTCGCCAAACTAAAAGAACCCTCTGCCAGAAAGCTTCTTCTTCGAAAGCTACAAGCTTAGATAAAAGACAAGAGACTGTCTTAAAGAAAGCTTTCGAGCTTTCAACTCTCTGTGGAATCGAAGTATGCGTCATCTGTTACAGACTCGACGGAGGGCTTAAAACATGGCCTGAAGACAGAGAGAAGGTCAAAGACATGGCTCGAAGGTACATTGAACTAAGCGAGACGAAGCGACGCAAAGGACAAGTTGATCTTCGCCAGTTTCTCGAGAAGATCAATAACGATGACTCCAAGAATAAGAAGAAGAAGAAGAAGAAACTGAAATCTTTACCCACTAACAAGTATCCAGATTGGGATCCGAGGTTTGAGAGTTACTCTGTAGAGCAACTCACGGAGCTGATTCAGTCCTTGGAACGTCGTCAAGCCATGATGCAACATAGAATTCAAGCTGTTGTTGAATCTCAGAAACAGAGGAACATGCATGGCACGAACATGGCTGATCAAAAACCGATGATTACTACTACTGCTGCTGGAATGAATCATCTTCAACAACATTCAAACCAGGTTTCCATGTATCTGCTTAACCATGAAAACGGTAATTTATCGCAATTCCCAGTCTCTGCATCAGCTCTTAACCAAGCGCAATCTCTGCCTCCGCTTCCGAGTTCACTGGCGATGTACCCTGATTTTAATGTGCGAAGTAACTCCGGGTTACTTCGGGTACAAGGCAATGGAATGAATGAGGTTCTGAGCACGAACATGTTACCCTACAACAACAGCGTTAATAACATGTTACCCTACAACAACATCAGCAACTTCATCAACAACAACAGTGTAAGTGATTTTTTTTTTTTTTTTTTTTTTTTAAAAAAGGGCTAAGTGTAAGTGATTTTTCAAAAAAAACAGTTTTATCAGAATTGCAACGTGGATGGTAACTCTGGCTTCCGTGGCGTGCAAGAAGCTGAGATCAACAACATGAATGTGAATGACTATCCCGGGTTTCGTTGGCCGCTGCAGGGAACCGGGATCAGCAGCATGAATGTGGATGATTATCCCGGTTTACGTTGGCCGCAAGGAACTGGGTTCAACGGGTTGCAGAACATGAACATGTGCGGCTACAACAGCAACACTAACACCAATGGTCTAACGCATCAGCTTGTTCAATTTCCGACACAAATAACAGCACCGGGTTTTCAATTTGGATCGGTCAGCACAAATTATTAAATCTCTCTATGAAGCTTAATCTCACAATGTGGGGTTCAATATATATTGGTTGATCCAGTTATCAGTTTAATTTGACTTTTACCATTTTTCAGTGTTTTCAATTATGTCTTATTCGCTATATATGCAATGTGACTAAACGATATTACGTGATTTTGTTTTTGTGTTTATTAATAATCTCCATGAGTGAGTCTTTTACTCTTTTGCTATTCTGAGTTTTTTATAATCATTAGCAATAAAGTGTTTGCTGCTATAATGATTAAGCAAAAATAAAAAATAAGCTAGCATCTAAGTATTAAGCAAAAATAAGCTAGCATCTAAGTATTTGTAAAAAGAACTAAAAAGGGAAAATCAAATAAAATCAAATAATAATGGAAAAAATAACAAAAGATCTAACTGGTTCAAAGGTAGCAATAAAGTGTTTGCTGCTCGGCTTATTAAAGAGGCATCCAACGGCTGAAATTAAAACAAACTTAAATCAACGGTTAGAATCACCGAAAAGCTGATTACATCAAAAGTGGGACCGGACCCACCATCACACACACAGAAGCAAAATCTCAGCGAAGAACTTGTAGATTTTTTTGTCGTTGGAGGCTAAAAGACAAAAGACCTAAAGAACTTGAAAATTCGAAGAACCAGAGTTAAACTCGTTGTCGGTCTTCTTCTAGTTCTCATATCTATCGTACATTCGAGCAGATTCTTACTTGTCTGGAAACCCTAGAAGGCGAATAAGCTTCACTTGTCAATGAGAGAAGAAGCTTGGTGTTAGGGTTTGTGTCTCTGTTGGTGATGGCAAGCCCTTTTCGAATTCACGTGAGTGATTATTTATCTTTCGAGAAATTTTGTCTCTTTAAGCTCCAAGTAGGTTCAATTTTAGCCTGGGTTTTGTTTTGCTGTTTTCGCATTAGATTTCTTCTCAATTTGGTACCAAATTCAAATTCCTGTCATTTCGTCTCCTTGTTCGTATAATTCCACGATTGGAGCATCTTCACTTTCTTCATCGTTTAGTTTTCTATGATGATCAAGAGATCAATATTTTCAATTGTAAGACATGATTTTTTTCTTCTTAACTTTGTTTGTGGATTATATTTGCTGATTCGGTTTCAATACAATGATGCTATGACAAAGAAATTCAATTTGTGCTTAAAGCAACATGATAGATTAAAATTACATCCACTTTGTGATTTTCATATGTGACAACAACAAAAAGTTGTCTTCTTGTAATCCAAGTACCTTTTTTTTTTCTTTACTTTGCTTAATTCCTTCTCTTTATGAACTTTTTATGCTGCAGATTTCGTGTTGATTCTTGGTGCTATTAGTTTGTGTGAGCCATAGAGTTTGAAAATGAGTGGCTCGGGAAGAAAACTAGTCTCAAAGTGGGACTCTAAGACAGACACACATCAACATTTTAGCGTAAATGAAAACTCAGGTTCTTATTACAAGGAGCCCGAGCCTGTCCGGTTCAACGGAGAGAGTAATGTCAGTAGGAGATCAGCTGCTGCGGACGATCAGCACTCCGGTGACGCTAGGACTAGAAGCAGAGCTGCACAGAATAACGATAACAGTTACTACTCTGAACAAGATGAAACTAGGCAGAAATTTTTCCATAGGTTAGTGTTTGAGTGTTGTTACTCAATAAAGTAAAAAAGTAGAGATTCTTATATATACTTGTTCTTCAGTTCTTACTTTTAACTCTCTCTTTTATTTTTCCAGGAGTGGTAGTAGTAGAAGTTACAGCAGAAGTAGAAGTTACAGCAGAAGTAGAAGCCGTAGCAGAAGCCCAGTCTATAGAGCAAGGACACGAGATGCAGGATCTTATGATAGACACAAGACCAGAGCACGAGATTCGTCTCTTCGAAGCAGTGATTATGGCTGGGAAGATGCAACCAGAAAGCATAGGGAGATGAAACATCACGCCGATGGTTTCAGGTCGTCTGACTATGATACTGATTTTTCTAGAAGGGAGCATTTACATGGTGGCGTTTCGGATCCGAGGTTGAGAAGGCACAGAAGCGAGTTTACGGGAACACAAAGAAGGGATGGGGATGGTGATGGTGATGGTGATGGCGAGGGAGGATTCAACAGGACTTCGAGTATCCCGTGCAAGTTTTTCGCTGCAGGGTTCTGTCGTAACGGCAACCATTGCAGGTTTTCTCATCATGGTGGTGATAGGAAGCAGCCTCAGGACAACAACTTTTATAGACAGGACAGTAACAATCATAGTGGTCATAATAGATGGAATGATGCTGAAAGATTGGATAAGGGAGTTTCTGAATCCAGAGGGAACGGTAGTAGCTGGATTGATGATATGGAGATGTCTCCAGAATGGAATTATGGTGCTCGTAATCTGAAAATCCCCATGAAGGAAGACCTTGGTGTTGGCGTTATTGGTCAGAGTTCACAATCTCGAGCTGGCAAAGATGATTTGGTGACTAACTATGATCAGAGGAGTAGTAGTGGTGTTATGTTTGAGAAACCTGTAGCTGATTCGCATCAGAATTACAACGACAAACCGGTGAACATCGCTCCGGTTCAAGCATTTAATCAGAATCATGATGTATCGCCGTACCAAACCGCTGGAGGAAGCCAACAAGTGGTAGCTGCTGCAGCAGATTTGTCAGTGGGTTCGACTTTAAGCAGTCTTGAGAGTGGAAAAGCTTTTCAAGATTCCATTGTGGAGAAACCTGTTCCGGTGCAAAATACAGTGACGAGGGAACAAATGGAACAGATTAGTAACATCTCAGCATCTATAGCTCAGTTTCTTGCAAATGGACAGCCCATTACACAGCTCACACAGTCATCCTTGCTCTCAGAATCTTCCTCTGCTGTTCATCCAGATCAAGCTACTAGTAATAATCCGAGCATTGGCGCTGAAGTAGTCCCAGCAGTTACGACATCACATGTGAGCAATGTCGATAAGATTCAGGAACTAGCGCTAGATACCAAGGCTGATGAGGAAAACGGAGAGAAAAAGGCCGATGAAGCTAGCAAAGAAGAAGATGGTACGAAAACTGGAGAAGACAGTAAAGATGCTGATGATGTTGATGGTAGTGACGAAGAAAACAAGAAAGGGAAAGACCCGAAGGCGTTTAAGTTTGCCCTCGTTGAGATTGTAAAAGAGCTTTTAAAACCAGCTTGGAAAGAAGGTAAAATGGACAAAGATGCTTACAAAAACATTGTGAAGAAAGTGGTTGAGAAAGTGACTGGTACAATGCAAAGTGGAAACATTCCTCAAACACAGGAGAAGATTGAACATTATCTATCTGCTTCGAAACCAAAGCTTACCAAGCTCGTTCAGGTTCTTCTTTTTTTAACTCTTAACCTTAACTTCTTTGATTTCTAAAACATGATCGGTTACACACATGATGATACTAACCCATTGTTTTGTGTCTGTCTTCAAATCCAGGCATATATCAGCAAAATCAAGAAGAACTAATTTGACATTGGACTCCCATAAATACAATTTCATCCTTGCATATCATAAAGCGTGAGAGCTTGGAAAAATTGTTTTTTAACTGCTCCCGTTGTTGTTACCATATTTCAGTTCTGTAGATATACCATCTAGATTTTGTTCGAATCACAGTATTCTTTTTCTTCCTTCATGATATGGTTCATTGGGATAATAGACCAAGATTGTGATTATCTTCTTCTTTTTATAATAGAAACTTAGACCAGTTTTAATGATCCTCATCTCTTTGGCAATGTTGATTTTGTATTTTGATCTGTTCTTTTTAACAGAACTACTCAACAGTTGAAAGTAAAAAACACGTTCTCAGAATGTAAAATCTTCGAATTATATAATTGGGATTGTAAATTAGCAGATTGTTTACGATTGGTCTTTAAACCGGTTTAAACCGGCCTATACCGTGCGCTCCCGCCATTTTAACTCTTCTCTTCCTGATTTTTTCCCGGGAATAAAAAATTGGGAAGTTGCATTTGATGAGAAATTAAAAAAAATTGGGATCTCTTCGTCGTAGTGAATCGATTTCTGTAACGGAGATGGCTTCGTCCACATCAAAAACCCTAATGGATTTTTTTCAACCCGCCAAACGCCTCAAAGCTTCCCCTTCTTCCTCCTTCCCCGCCGTTTCCACCGCCGGTGGATCCCGCGGTTTGGGTTCTGCAGCAAACTCGCCGCCTCGCATCACCGTTACCAATTCCGTAACGGAAGACTCGTCTGGCCTCACACCGGACCAAATCTCTCGCTCCGAGTTCAATAAATTCGTTGCCAAGTCCAAGCGTAACCTCGCCGTCTGCTCCGAGAAGGTCACAAAAGCGAAAGGTTTGTCTTTTTAGTTGATTTTGTTGTCATTTTGAGTCTCCCATTACTTCATTTACAGTCTCCTCAAGATTATTCTTAATCTGGATAATGAGAATTGTTCTTAGGTTTTAACGATTCTGATTTGATTTTGGGATGGAAACTGCAGCTGAAGGAAGCTGCTACGTACCATTGAGTGAGCTCTTAGTGGAAGAATCATGGCTCAAAGCTCTTCCTGAAGAATTGCATAAACCCTACGCTAAAACTCTTTCCGACTTCCTTGAACGTGAGACCATAGCTGACTTTAAAGGCCCTCCGATTTATCCGCCGCAGCATTTGATTTTCAATGCCCTAAACACAACTCCTTTTGATCGTGTAAAGGCTGTCATTATCGGTCAGGTACATAATTTGGAACGAACATTGGTTTCTTGGAGGAGTTTTCTAGATTCCTGTTATGCTTTAACAAGTTTTCTCTCTGTTCGATTAGGATCCTTACCATGGACCTGGTCAAGCAATGGGTTTGTCCTTCTCCGTGCCTGAAGGAGAGAAGCTTCCTTCTAGCCTGTTGAACATATTTAAGGAGCTTCAGAAAGATGTTGGCTGTCCAATCCCACGTCATGGTAATCTGCAGAAATGGGCTGTGCAGGTAAATAGAGTTTCTTTATAATCTCTCTACTTGTTTGTTATATCAAATTCTGAAGATCACGCAAGTCAACTTTTTGACTTTCTTTTTTTAGGGTGTACTGCTGCTGAATGCTGTTCTTACAGGTAATGTCTATTATTGCGTAATGACCTTGCGAGTATGAGAACTTTTAAAGAAATTTAAGCTTATCTTGGCTTGTAATTCAGTAAGGAGTAAGCAGCCCAATTCACATGCAAAGAAAGGATGGGAACAATTCACTGATGCTGTTATTCAAAGCATATCACAGCAGAAGGAAGGTGTGGTGTTTCTCCTCTGGGGAAGATACGCTCAAGAGAAATCCAAGTACATTTGGTGTTTTTTATGAATGCGATTGAATGTTTATCCTGTATGAGACTGCAAGCGTTCATATGATTGTTTGCAGGTTGATAGATGGGAATAAACATCATATACTCACAGCTGCTCATCCATCTGGTTTGTCGGCTCACAGAGGCTTCTTCAACTGCAGGTTAGCTCAAGTCTACTAAACTTGTTTTTTTCTCTCTTGCTTATTCACATGCTTAATGTAACCAAATAACCATACCAATGATTCCGTGAGCCTGTAAGACATGACATGACTTGCAATTGTCTGTGCATTGTGCCTGTGTTGTCCAAGCTGCTGAACTAATTTTGATGTTCCACATTTGGACAGGCATTTCTCTCGAGCAAACCAGCTACTCGAGCAAATGGGGACTACCCCTATAGACTGGCAACTTTAACATCTTAACCGCAATCTCAAGTCCAAGACGAAGTGTGAGTGTTCATGCCTCTTGGGAAGCCAACCATTTTTTGTAATCTCTTTTGGTAAACAGAGCTTGAAGCTTGAACAATTGCCCTCCTTTTGTTAACTATTATGCTATCACAGAGTCGTAGACGACTAGCATAGTATGGCTAAGTAGTGTCAAATTGTGTCTTCATTTTGTTGTATTTGAAGAATGGTGTGTATTATATTAGTGCTGCTTAGTTGTACAACTTCCTTCTTGCTACAGAGTATGGAAATGTGATGAAGTATGGATATTTTAAAGTCTTAAAGGTATGGAGAGGTGCATAAAAGATTGATTCGCATAAAATGAGTTCCAAAACGATATTTGTGCAACCCCTTTGATACTGTTATTCTCGAGTTTGAGGCATGTCAGGGAAACAAAAAATTTACAATCTTGAAACAAAATTAACGATTCTATGATCATGAATCTTCACAAACGAGATACAGTCCACATTACCTGTTAGCTCCAAGTATGATTAATGTTTATGAATGCACCCAGACAAGCTCCAAATGTTGCAGGAGGAAACACAAAGAACAAACATATTGGCATCACCATTCTCTTCCTCTTCTTCTTCTTCTCATGTCTTATGTCTCTTCCTCAAGTTCCTTATAGTTGGCAAGTGCCTTTCAATTGAAAGTGGACACCCGAAAAACGTCACTAGATTCCCGCAGCTCTTCTCACCATCTTCCTCACTTCCTTGAGAGCTCAAATGGCTCAAGTAAGTCTTGCCTTCATAGATATAGCTAAGCTGTTGCCACAGCAAAACACTCAGACCAATCGCCACGGAAATACTCGCCACAAAGAGGTAGACTAGAACAAGGCCTCGAACAGAGATGAAGATAGCGTTGGCTATGTAAGCAAGCACGATATTCTTCACCGCTCTCAGAATCGATAAACTGTCAGCATGAGCCACATCGGACGCATACGCTACTGCTCCATTTTCAAGAGGTGGCATGATATGAATCAAGGAATACACACACATAGCAGAAGCGTAGATTGTGCTTACGACGGCAGAGATAAGGAAGGCGATGAAGTTCTTGTGATTACCCGCACCAACACAGTTCCCAATCTGCAAAAACACAACACACAATGAGACTCACCAGCCTTAAAGTTATTAAGGAAACAACTTGCAAAAAAAAGCCAATGAGACTTACAAAGGGGCAATGATGATCCATGTCGAGGACACACATGCTACAAGTGCGACAGTGATGTGTTCTAGGTGACTTTGGTTTGGAGCAGTAGTGACAAAAGGTGTAGTTGTTAAGTGCCCCGTTCCCTACTCCAGGGTGTGTTCCATAGAGAATCTCTGTTGGTTTTCCCGCGCATTTGAAGGCAACGAGGATGAACGTTGATAACGTTGATATCGCCAGTGACAATGTCGTAACAGAATGGAATATCCCAGAGGCCAAGCTGATCGAAAACACGACTGGGTACGCAGCCCAAATCCCACCACCTGCAGTTTTTTATTTTACCAAAAAGAGTATATTTGAACAGGGGAAATGGCGAAAATGTCATTTTCTAAATCTATGCTTATTCAGAGGAGCTGCTTACATATCACAAAGAGCATGAAAACAGCGAGGATAACGACAAAACAACGGTCACGGAAACGTCTCAAGCCGAAGCTTTTGGTTTCAAGCATGACTGGATTCTGATTCGTGATTGCACCACACCAACCGCACTTGAAGACAGGCGCGTATGATGGAAGAACAAGGTTAAGTCCACATCCCCAGCAAACTGCTTCATAATCCTCATTTATGGTTGTTATAAAACTCCCCTGCAGAAAAAAAAGAAAGCAAAACAGTGTTTATGTCTCAGGAGTTAGCTACTAGTATCTATTCCTAAGACACTTTTAAAACAATTTTCAAGATTGTAATTACACTCAGGGTTCACAAGATGAAATCTTTAAAGGAGAGGCGTTGAAGATAAGTCAGAGAGAGAAGGATCCACTAACCTGGGAAGACTCTTCCATATCTATAAACCGAGTTTTTTTTTTCAGGAATCCCAGAAGATTGATGAGAGTTAGGAATCAAGAACACACAAATGAAACCCAGAAGCTCGTCTCGAATGAATCAAACAGAACCCAAAACCACATCAATCATCTGCTAATTAAAGGGTAATCGATGAAGCAAGCAGCAAAACCCACGTTTTTCCTTCGTTGATTTCTCTGCCAGAATATTCGAAATCTCTAATCTTGGGCCAAGGTTCCCGCAGAAGGGAACTATCAGCTCCCTTAAAGCTATGGTCTTTCCACAGAAGAGATCTGACAGATTGTTGTTCGATTTTCTCAGTGTTCCAATCTGTGATTGCTTGACCATGACACAAAGCATCCGATTCTCCACAGGAATTTAGGGTTGACCGTCTTTATAATTCACAGGCAGATACGCATCTGATGAAATTGAGAGACTCAAATTCTCCTTGCTGTAGCTCTATAGAGCGATCGACCGGTAAGGAATGTCACCGATAGCGACGGCGACGGCGATAGACACCGGGAATTTTGATCGGAAGTGGGGGAGAAGAGAAGGATTCTGATTCACAGCGGCGAAAAATGAAAAACTTTGAATATCGCTTAGTGTGGAGTTGTCCCAATATTTTATTTATTCTCTTATTTTTGGTCCCTCTGTTTTGTATTTGCTAATAGAATTATAGATAACGCATTAGGAAAATTATTGTAACGCCTGTAATAATTCGAGTTCACAAAAAAAGAGAAAAAAATCTCGGCATGTAATTTGATGAAACAAGTGTTTGTCAATGTCAACACCAATTTGTATACGAATGATCAATTTGAATGATTTGATTCTTTAATTACTACATGCGAGTGGTGTCCTTCAAATAGTAAGTTCTTTAAGTTCCAAATGCAATAGAGATGTAAACTCTATTGACCATTGAACTAATTACTAGTGTTTTGCTTAGACTAACAGTGATTTCGATGCGATAATTACATGTTAATGCTTCTGGGTCAGTAGTCAGTAGTACTGCACAGGAAAAAACAACATTCATTAAGCGTTTGCTTAAATCTAATTATCCAGGCAAGTTGTCCGTTTTATCATCTCTCCTTCTCCTTCTGGGACCTAACTTGTTTTGATGTTTTTGATAAGGAATTACAAACAGGTCAATGAAACAACCATAAAACAGCTTCTTATAACTTCAACTATTATATTTCTCGAGAGCTCATATTGGACCAGAACTAACTAATGTACTGACAGATTTGTCGTTGTCATGGTATATTTTAATTTGTTATCTGCCATAGATTTGTCGTTGTCATGTTATCATGTTAGGCTTGTAAGTTTGAGACTTGTAGACACATGAAGAGGCAGCATTATCACAAAACAAAAGTACTGAGTGTCGCTATCAAGCACATGATAAAAATAAAATTGTCATATAATATATGTGTGTTTGGTGCTTATGGTGCACACTTGAAATGATGTTTGGTTTATGGTGCACACTTGAATTGATCTTTTTCAAATTTGTAGGATTTTATATAAGAAAAATATAACACAACCCTGTATTATACTTGATGAGGAACTTTCTTTTATGAAGTTTGGATGTAGTCATCAGAGAGGACAATGAGTTTCCAATAAAACTAACGAAATGTAATATTTTAGTATATGAATCATGCTAGGCGCTAAATCAATGCTGTAGAATCCAAATCGGTTTATACTATACAAGAAGTCATTTTGTTTCATAAGTTAAAAGCTAAACATGAATTATGATTCTATTAATCCTCGAAACTTTATAAAGAACAGCAGAGGTTTTACAGAGTTAGAACAAATGTATGAAAGGAAACCCCATGTTAAACCAAAACCATCATCTTCTTCACTTGCATTATTGCAAATTTGGCAAGTTTCTCCATAGCTGGTGAACTGATCTCTAGTTAATGCTAAATAATTTCAGGCAGCATTGGTTTCCTTTTATCAGACTCGGGATGTGAATGCTGTATTCGAATATTTCCTTTACCATTTATATGACTAGTTAAACAAACACTTGAGTCGCAAGCTTTATCATTCGGAATATTAACATTTAGATCAAGAAAAAACAAAAAATTTATAAAGCTTGCGACTCAAGTGACTAACCAATCATATAAATGGTAAGTTATCAACCGCCTGCCACGTGGACGGTACAGATTGTGATGCCTATAATCTGATCTATATAAATACTAAACTTTCTGAAAAGCCCTAAACACCAAAATCTTTAAGCTCCCCTGTCGCAGCAAAGACCTAACAGTATCGATTGTCAATCTCCAGCAGTTACCATGGGCAAGTCTAAGAAAGAATCCGCCACCATAGTAATCATCTTTCTCCCCTTCTTGTTTTTTCTTCTCGATGTTCTTTTCTTTTTTGTTCCTGAAGCTAATCGAATTAAACTCTGTTTCCAGGTCGAAGCAGCACCAACCTCAACAACGAAACCATTGAAGAAAGGTAAGAATTGATTAATTTAATTCGATGCCTTGGTTTCTGGCTTAGTGATTCTGTTTCTCGATGCTAAGCTTGTTGTTAATTTGTGATTTCTATTGATTCATGGCGGTTTCTAGTTTTTTCATGATTAATACTAGAGATGATAATGATACTATGAATTAGTGTCTGTTTCGTGAATTAATTTGACCTTTGTCTGTTTTTGCCTACTTGAGGTATCAATCGTTTGTTTTAGGTTTTGACTTTGTTTTGTCTAATCCGTTTAGGTAAGAGAGATACAGAAGTTGATCAGGACACCAAAGTGAACCCTAAGAAGCAGAAGAAGGAGTTGCTTCAACCTGTTGAAGCTGAGAAAAAGGCGCCATCGAAGAAGAAGGTAGAGACGAGCAGTTCCGACTCATCAGATTCTGAGGAAGAGAAGAAGAAGAAGGTATTATTACTTTAATCTCTTTGTTAATAATATGTTTAGTGGTTTAGTTAAGGGTTGTTATGTCCTGTCTATACTCACGTTGAATTTATTACTTATGAATATTCAGACTAAGAAAGTCGCTGCCAAGAAGCAAACTGCAGCAGAGAGCAGCTCATCTGAAGATGAATCTTCTTCAGACGAGGTATAAATTGCATCTCAATGTTAGACAAAGTGTCGAGAAATTGTCATGTCATATGATTAATTTACAATCGTTTTTTTTTTGGTGGATAAATTATAATTAGGAAACCGCCCCAGCGAAGCCAGCAGTGCTTAGGAAAGCAGCCAAGGCAGAAAGCTCCTCATCTGAGGATGAATCTTCTTCAGACGAGGAGGTATGTATTGCATCATTACAACACATTAGCTTAAACGTGAATGATGATTAATGTCATAAAGCTCAATTTTTGCGTTACACGAATATAATCATGTGCTTACATTTTTTTGCTTCTTGATAAACCATAAATAGGAACCTGCAAAGAAGCAACCTGAGAATGCCAAGCCTGCTGCAAAAGACTCATCATCCTCAGAGGATGAATCTGATGATGAAAAGAAGCAACCTGTAGCTGTTAAGAGTGCTAAGCCTGCTGCAAAAGACTCATCATCCTCAGAGGATGAATCTGATGAAGAATCAGAAGATGAAAAGAAGCAACCTGTAGCTGTTAAGAGTGCTAAGCCTGCTGCAAAAGACTCATCATCCTCAGAGGATGAATCTGATGAAGAATCAGAAGATGAAAAGAAGAAACCTGTAGCTGTTAAGAATGTCAAGCCTGCTGCAAAGGACTCGTCATCCTCAGAGGATGAATCTGATGAAGAATCAGAAGATGCAAAGAAGAAACCTGTAGCTGTTAAGAATGTCAAGCCTGCTGCAAAGGACTCGTCATCCTCAGAGGATGAATCTGATGAAGAATCAGAAGATGCAAAGAAGAAACCTGTAGCTGCTAAGAATGTCAAGCCTGCTGCAAAGGACTCATCATCCTCGGAGGATGAATCTGATGAAGAATCAGAAGATGCAAAGAAGAAACCTGTAGCTGCTAAGGGTGCCAAGCCTGCTGAAAAAGATTCATCATCCTCAGAGGAAGAATCAGAATCAGAAGATGAAAAGGAACCTGCTACAAAAAAGCTTCCAGCTTCTTCTAAAAGAAAGTCTGAGGAAGTTTCATCAGATGAGGTTTATTTTGATATAGTTTTTCACTTCATCGTATACTAATAAAACAAGATAATTTCCATTTCTTTTATTCTATACGCTTACATAGTCCATATAAACTTTCAGGAAAGTGATGATGATGAAAAACCTCCTCAGAAGAAGGTATGTTGTTCCACCAGGTTAAATTTTGTTGTTCTGTAAGTGTCGGTCAATAGAAGTAAACTGTTTTGATTTATTGTGCAGGCTAAAGTTTCATCAACAAAAACTACTAAACAAGAAAGTGATGAATCTAGTGAGGAGGAGAGTGAAGATGAGAAAGTAACTCCAAAGAAAAAGGTATGAAGAATTTCTCTGTACAGAACGTATGTCATAGATTAATTGATATTTTATTCTAACTTTGATCACCTTTTAATCAAATCCAGGATTCTGATATTGAAATGGTGGAGGCAGAGGATAAATCAAATGCAAAACAAGTATAAACTCCATCCAACAAATTTTGGCTATGATTTTTTTATTAGATGTGATAGTATTTTAGGTAACGTTTTTTTTCCCTAATATTACAGTCTCAGACACCAGCCACTCGGACTACTCAAGGAGGTTACAAGACACTATTTGCTGGAAACCTTTCCTATCAAGTTGAGAGAGCTGACGTGTAAGTAGATAAAACTGTTTTTGTAAAACTGTTTTTGTTTTTGTTTGTCTGGTTCCTACGACTTTAAGTGTTGGTTGCCTGATACATATATAACTCATATACAGAGAAAACTTCTTCAAAGAAGTTGGTGAAATTGTGGGTGTTCGAATTGCTGCACATGAGGATGGCAGTAAGAAAGGATGGGGGCATGTTGAATTTGCTTCTGAAGAAGCAGCTAAGAAGGTAAAGCTATATATATTGGTTGTTTTGGAATCATTAAAGTGGTAATTATTGGATATTGAGAATATATATGACTTGATCTATCACTGGATGCAGGCAATGGAACTGAACGGTAGAGAATTACTAGGCCGCCCTGTTCGTCTTGATCCTTCAACTGATAGAAGGAGGTACTTAATTTTCTTACCTGGCATAGGAGAGTGAGCATGTTATGAAAGATGATTATGTAATGATATGTTTTTCGTTTTGCTGGAATACTTGCAGTAACTTCCAGAGCAGTGATCGCAAAGGAGGCAGTGACCGCAAAGGACAAGGAAGCCAAAGTAAAACCATTTTTGTTAAAGGATTCGACAGCTCTCTTGATACACGTGAGGTAAATATCCTCATCTTCAGCTTTATATGGTTGCTATTTTGTTATAAAATCTTTGATTGAAAACACTAAAAAATCTGTTATGAACATCTTATCTCCAGGCCAGGAATGCATTGAGAGCTCATTTTAGTCCTTGTGGAGAAATCACAAGGATTGCTGTTCAAACAGATAAGGAGACTGGTGCTAGCAGAGGGTTTGTAACTCTTCTCTATACCGTGTTTGGTTCAATGATGATGATAGTGATGATGTTAACTCATCATGTGTGTCTTGATTGTTGTTTTCAGGACTGCTTACTTAGATTTGACGGATGATGGATTCAACAAGGCATTGGAACTAAACAAAAGTGAAATCGGAGGGTGGATGATTATGGTGAGCGAGGCTAGACCAAGAGGAGAGAGTGGTGATTTTGACCGGTCGAACAGCAGAGGACGGGACAGTCGTGGTCGTTTCAATAGAGGACGTGGACGTGAAAGGGGCAATTTTAACCGTGGGACACCAAGCAAACCAAGTTTGCTTAACTCAGCCAAAGGTTTGTTTCTTCCTCTCTCTCTCTTTAAGCTTTTTTGTTGTGCTTTGTAGAATCTTCTCTCATAATCTTTACTTTTGTATCTACTTGCAGGGAAGAAGATCCTCTTTGATGGTGAGTGAAGAAGAAGCTTGGCTTTTCTTTTTCTCCCATTTTTAGCTCTTTTTTTCGGCCTATCTTATTTATTTTGGTTTTTTTTTTTGAGGAAAGCGTTATAAAGCTTTTATATGATGAGTTTCTTTTCTGAGTCTTAAAATTGAGTTTGAGTATTTTCATTACTAATAACGGATGGTGATATTTTTCCTAATAAAATTAAGATGGTTTGCTTTAGCTATTTTATTTTAGCATTTATAAAACATTGGTTGTTATTAAAAATTTCTCGTTGATTGGCTAAAGAGAGAAAATAAAGAGACTGAAAGTCCAAACCAAAAAGAGGTTCAAAAAACCTAATAATTAGAAGGAACAATATGATCAAAATTTTACCAAAAAAAAAGAACAATATGATTAAAACATAATTAAGAGTGATACATCAATGTTAAACTATTTGATTACACAATTTGTCTTTCCGATAAGAATTATCTTTTCTTTTTGTCCTCCTCCTCGCGCTCAATTTGGTGAAAGAGCTCAGACAATGTAAAGTAACGGCTTATGTTCTTTTGTCAATCTCAATGTAATTTTTTTTTTTTTTTTTTACGGCCAATGTAAAATTAATTAATTAGACAAATACATCATAAAAAAAAAAGTAAAACGGAGCCAATTTATTTACTGTATGTGTAAATAAGGTTTTTCCTAACATTTTATATTGATATCCTGTATGTGTAAATAAAAATAAAAATAAATTAATAAAAAATAATTCAAAGGTTATACGACTTATACGAGTTACAACACTCCTTAAACCCTAAACCTTTTTCTTTTGCTCCGCGCCGCGGTCTTCACTTTCATCTCTCTCTCTCTCAATCTCTCCATCTTTCTCCCAATTAAAATTATCGCTATCGCATCCTTCGAGTGGTTTCATACATACATGTAAGCTTCTTTACTGTTTCTCTTTGCCTTGTTAATTCCTTTTCGAGGGTCCTGTTCGATAAGTACTGCGTACCTCATTTTTCGTGTTCTATTTGTAATACACAGCTCTTACAAAAACTCTACCCACATTAGTTTGGCGTACAATTCTAAAGTTTTGGATTAAGAATCGAAATTCAAGGTTATGTAGACTGATGATTGTGATACAGAATCTGGTTATAGAGTCGTTTTGATGTAGAAACCTTAATTTCTGGGTGCTTGCTTTGTCTGTCTTAGAATTGGCCTTCTTTCAGAGATTAAAAACATTCTCAAAAATTTGTTGGTTTTCCCATTTACACAAGTCTGTAATTTTTCTGCAGAGAGCAGAGACATGGTTGAAGTGGAGAAGAATCCCACTGAAGAGCTCAAGAAGAGGATAAGGAAGCGAAACCGTGGGAAGAAGAACGACCAGCAAAAGGCGGAAGAAGAAACCCACAACGTAGAGGAAAACACAGATGAAATCCAGAAGAAGAAGGAAAAGAAGGTTAAGAAAGTGAAGTTGCAGGGGAAGGGCAAAACCGAGGAAGAGAAAGATGAAGAGGAAGAGGTGGAAGCAAAGGAAGAAGGAGAAGAGGAGAAGAAGATCGTGGTTGTGAGTAAAGGGATAATGACTAATGAAACCTTTGAATCTCTTGACTTATCTGAGCATACTTTCGAAGCTATCAAGGAGATGGGCTTTCAGCACATGACGCAAGTACGTAAATCTGAATCTCTTTTTTGGTGCTTAACAGAGTCTTGTGGCAGAGTATGTTTCTAAGTAAGTCTCTTAATCTTCTGTCATCGTATAGATTCAAGCCGGATCAATTCCTCCCCTTTTGGAGGGAAAAGATGTTCTTGGTGCTGCCAGGACTGGTTCTGGTAAAACTCTTGCTTTTCTCATACCGGCTGTAGAGTTGCTGTTGAAAGAGCGTTTCTCTCCTCGCAACGGGACTGGCGTGATCGTTATTTGCCCCACTAGGGAACTTGCTATTCAGGTCAATCCTCTTTCTATCAACTTAAGCCGTTTCGAATTAGTATCGGCCATACTGTAATCGTGAGTAGATGATTCCTGTTATTCTTGCAATGCGCTAGGCAGATCAATCCTGTTGGGTTTGTGTAGTGTTCTGCCTCCCAAATTCTATTTTTTCACGGGTACTATTTTGATATTTCAGACTAAAAATGTGGCGGAGGAGTTACTCAAGCATCATTCACAGACGGTCAGCATGGTTATGGGTGGCAACAACAGAAGGACGGAAGCACAACGTCTTGCGAATGGTTCAAATTTGTTGATAGCAACTCCTGGGCGTCTTCTCGACCATCTTCAACATACCAAGGGTTTCATTTTTAAACACCTGAAGGTACTGTTCTTTCCACTGTTCCATTTGGCTCGTGTCTTATTTTTGTGTGATGTTGATGTTGAACACCATTACTGTTAAGCCGGCTACATGGACATCTTTTTTATATTGACAAACAATGCAAAGTAAAAGAGCCAAAGATTAACTGTAGGCAGCATCTTATGCTGTATTCATTTTGCCGCCTCTGTGATAAATTTATAGAGGGAAAACTGCAGAATGATTGGCTTGTGATATGTTGTTTAGCTTGCATTGTAGTCGTACTAATAGTTGAAATGTGAATACTCGACTTTAAGCTGTAGATGATTCTAATGGATATTTATCTATGTTCCTATGAATTGCAGTGCCTTGTGATCGATGAAGCTGATAGGATACTGGAAGACAATTTTGAGGAAGACATGAATAAGATTCTAAAGATTTTACCAAAGGTAAATCATTCTCTTTGGATCTTAATAACGGTTTATTAGGACAAGAAATGAGAAAACTAGATAAATTCCAACCTTTTAGTTTCGGAGATTCTCCTTATCCAAAATTCACTAGCGAAATAGTGTTGTTGGATTTTGCATGTTCAAATTAAATCATCTTGCCAAAGTAATTGGCATTATTATGGTTTGGATTTTGTACTGATTAAAGTTCTTACCATGTTTCTGCAGACTAGACAAACCGCACTATTCTCTGCCACTCAGACATCTAAGGTATTTTTCTATTAGCTGCGGTATTGTCAACTTGTCATTAGTAGCATATTCTGTTACTTAATTATGCTCTCTTGGTGAATCGTAACAGGTTCAAGATCTTGCTCGGGTGTCATTGACATCTCCTGTTCATGTTGATGTCGATGATGGTAGACGCAAGGTATGAATCAAAAGAAACACTCTGTTAATGAAAATTGTAAGGAGCATGCGATGGAGATTTTACTTATAAAGTTTCCTAAACTTCCAGGTGACAAATGAAGGATTAGAGCAAGGCTATTGTGTTGTTCCGAGCGAAAAAAGACTTTTCCTTCTGATTTCTTTTTTGAAAAAGAACCTAAGTAAAAAAATAATGGTGTTCTTCTCGACTTGCAAGTCAGTACAATTCCATGCTGAAATCATGAAACTTATCAATGTGGATAGCTGCGATATCCATGGAGGTCTGGATCAGAACCGAAGAACGAAAACCTTTTTCGACTTTATGAAAGCAGAAAAGGGTATCTTGTTATGTACTGATGTTGCTGCTCGTGGTCTTGATATTCCTTCCGTGGTACGTACGCACACTACCCTCTACCATATACTAGCAATGCTTTTATATACTCAAATAGTATTAATGAAATCATATTGTGTTGAATCTTATCTTCTGTAGGACTGGATTATACAGTATGATCCTCCGGACAAGCCAACGGTAAGAGAAATACGCCGCTTTGGTTTTTTCTTATATCCCCTTCTGACTGTTTATGTGCATCTTAGAATTGTTCGTTGGTAATGTTGTCTTCAGGAATATATCCATAGGGTTGGTCGAACAGCCCGTGGAGAAGGAGCAAAGGGAAAGGCGTTGCTTGTATTGATCCCTGAAGAGCTTCAGTTTATTCGATACCTTAAGGTATGAATGGTTTTTTGGAACCTTTTTGTATGTAAACCTACTTGTTTTGTTGATTTATACTTTTAACCCGCAGGCTGCAAAAGTACCTGTAAAAGAGCTCGAGTTCAATGAGAAGAAGCTTTTAAATGTTCGATCTGCGCTGGTACTAGCTCTGATTCAAGTCTATTTGTGGGTTATATTAACTTTCCATTTGTAATTTGATTACATTTGTAATATAACATCATTTCTTGCTCTTGTTCTGCAGGAGAAGTATGTTGCCAACGACTATAATCTGAACAGGTTAGCTAAGGATGCGTACCGGGCGTATATATCAGCATACAATTCACATTCTCTGAAAGACATCTTTAATGTTCACCGACTCGATCTCCAGGTATAAAACAGAAGTAAACATTGTTCTTGCACATCTTTTGTTTCGTGGTTTAGAAATTAGAAGATACATGGTTTTCATATTTATGTCATTGGATGTCTCAGGCGGTTGCTGCATCGTTCTGCTTCTCTTCGCCGCCAAAAGTGCATCTGAACATTGAAAGCGGAGCCGGGAAAGTGAGGAAGGCAAAGAATCAGCAAAGTCGCAATGGGTTTTCTCCTTACAGTCCCTACGGCAAAGGCAAGTCCACACCTAAAGAGGCATGAAGTGTCTCCACCGACCTTAAAAAATTATGATTTTGCCCCTCATTTTGGAAACCTTTTTTGTTTTTATTAATTTCCACCAAGTTTTGTCTAAACAGTAGTAACATTAATGTGCTTTTTAATTTAGATGAAACGTTTCTTGTAATACTTCCGATCTATGTGTTGTTATAAGAATTGTTTTATTAAAATCATTGGCAGCTTTTTTTAGAGATTATAAAAGAACATAAATAGGTAAATATGAGACTACAAGAAAAGTGAAATCATGTTTGATTGATAAAGTTGAAAGCTAGACCGGTCAATGTAGTTTATTCGGAATAGTCACTACCTAAGAACGAAGCAGCCTAATAATGTTGGATGAAAAGCCTAAAGAGAACAAAATGCTAAACCGGCCTTAAATCTGCAGTATCTAAAATAAACCAAAAACCGAAACAACAAGAACCGCCAAGACAACAAAAGCGGAACTGCTGAACTGGACTGCTGTTTTCAAGGCATTGCTCTTCTTGTGACTTGTCGCCGGGAGAGATGAAGACGACGGGGAAGATGAAGACGACGAAGGAGGAGGAGAATCTGGCGAAGAATCCGTCTCCATGACTTTTATGATCATCTTCTGACCCTTTTCGCAGTGGCCCGAGACACCGCTAATGAAGTAAAACAAACCGGGACGGTCTAGCGTGAAAACCGTATCTTGGTTGTTCGAATAGAGTTGTGGTTTAGTCGCCTTGCATTTCTTGTACTCTTCTTCTGACACCACTAACACCGAGTCTTTCTTGTACTTGAAACCTTCACCAAAATCAAACGTCACCCCCAGAAATTACATATTTTGAAGATGAAAGTTGCATACATAAAAAAAAAAAAATTAAAAAATACTTACGGACAGTGTCGCCAACTTTAAACCGGTTGTCTGAAGCCCATTGGTTAAACATATCTCCATGAGTCCTCGATTTTGGTACTGTCCAACCATCTTCTCCTCCAACTTCAAATTCAGTGCTCAAAACACATGAAAACATATAAAATGAAGCAAGAATCGTAACGAGAGTGATCTTCCTCAGTGAACCCATTTGTTGTTTTTGGATTGTTACCAAATGAGCTCTGAGAAAAAGAGAGGAGATTTGTTCTAGGAAGAAATCAAAGTTACGGTGACCTTTTTTTTTTTCTCTTTGCTCTTATGGCTTGTGAATGCTTGAGGTTTTGAGTTTAAAAAGAGTGAGGCTTCGAGGTCTGTTAGTCTTGTCCACATCTTGAGGGATAATTAACGGATATTTTTTTAACTTGGTATTTTACTTTTCTTGAATCAGAAAGATAATTTGTGAATAGAACACGACTTGAAGTTGTTGTAGAATATCTGATTTTATGGGATGTTTGCTTCTTATTCGGAATTACAAAAATTTGAAATTATGTGGACGTCTGGACAATGTGTTTTTCCAGATAAACTTTTAAAAATTAATTTGGTGAAATTATGGATCACTTGCGCATAGTTTTCTCTCGAATGAGTAACTAATATCTTATCTTAATATTCATTCAAAAAAAATATCATATGTTAATAATTATATTAATAAATTATATCAAAATGTATTCTATCTATATATTTTTTCTACTTATATTCTGATAATGAAAAACCGATGAAGAAGAGGAGGATTTAGAGAATCTTTGAGTATCAAAGAGATATTCCAATGATGGATCAAAGAGCCCCTATGAAGAGGAGGAGAGGTGAATAGAATAGTGGCGAATCACCGCGTGTTTTCCGAGACAAAGATCGATGAATTGACTGTTGATGGAGAACATTTAATTATTTTTTTACTTATAAATCAAAAGCCAGTTGTTATTTTAAAAAAATAAAAAATTGTATTTATTTTATATATATATATAAAATATCTTTATAGTTATAAATTGGAAGTCAGTTTTTATTTCTACGTTTGGATTGATCAACTCCAAATTTTATAGGGATTTATAATATCTATCAAAAACTGGTTCAAATTTAAATTCTATCCCATTAAACAACAAACTTGGCGGTGTAATCTGCCAGATTATATGAGATCCTCGTTGGTGATATCTACATGTGCAGTATTCAAACAAAAAAAAATTATTATGACTTTAATTAAAAAAAATTGTGACTATAAACTTTTAACAGTAGTGAATGGTTGTAAAAACTATAACTGTTATTTTAAATATTTTAAAATTTTTGATTGTTAGCAAAAAGAAAAGCTATAATTATTATTTTAAAACAATTGTAATACTAAAAGTTTGATGAAAAGAGAATAATAATAGAGAAAAATAGATCTAAAAGGAAAAAAATATTATAAGTCAATCAATTTATGTTTTATATATATATATATAAGTGTAAAGATAGTTTAAAATTTTTTAGAAAAAGAAATGGAAAGAGAAAAGAATTTTGGAATCCAATTTTTAGAAAATAATAAAGGAAAAAAAAGAGAAAAACAAAACCAGACTGTGAAGATTTTAAATGAATTATGATAAATGAATCGTTTGACCAATCCTGCTCTTTCGTCTAAGGATTTTCAATTTTGTGTTGAAATTGTCATTTAAGAAAGTTTTGGTCATACTACTGGATTTCGAATAATTTAGGGACTTTATCCCAAAATGTTCCAATTAGTTTCTCCGCTTTGATCCCCTTTAGGGTTTAAGACGTTAAACCCACCCGGAATCCTGCATTCGTCATTCGATTCCAAATCTCAGTAAAGAGCTCTAAAATGGCGAATTCAATGGCCACGCTTTCGAGAAGACTCTATCGATCTCTTCTCTCAAACCCTAGATTTTCTCAGGCTTCCATGTCCTTCTGCACCAACAACATCTCCTCCCGCGAAGACCCCGACTTTGACGAGCTATCAGCTATCTCAGACACTGAATCGCCCCTTGAACCGAAGGACTCGGATCCATCGTCTCGAATTTCCGGAGAAGAACGCGTGATGGAAGAGCGTCCTCTCGAAAACGGCCTTGATGCTGGCATTTTCAAGGTACCAAACTTCCAAATCGGTTTCTCGTTCCAATTGATTCTTGTGCTTTCTAGGGGCTTATAGCCATTTCTACTGGAATTTGTATCCCTTTTGTTGTTTTTCTCGAATCTTCCAAGGAGATCAGTGCAAATTTTGCTTCGCATGATCAGTGTTAGTCATAAGTGAGTTATACTAATTTTCCGGCGAAATTCAGGCGATTTTGGTGGGGCAAGTGGGTCAGCTGCCACTGCAGAAGAAGCTGAAGAGTGGCAGAACAGTGACTCTCTTCTCTGTGGGAACCGGTGGGATCAGGAACAACCGGAGACCGATGATTAACGAAGACCCGAGAGAGTATGCGAACCGTTCTTCAGTACAGTGGCACCGTGTCTCTGTTTACCCTGAACGCTTAGCAGATCTTGTGTTGAAGAACGTTGAACCCGGGTTAGTTCTCTTCTGATATCAAATTTTTAGCTTTTTTTAGGTGTTATGTATTTTGATCAACTGAGATTCTTGATAGAGAAAATAGAGGAACCAGCCTTCCACAAACTGATTCAAGTATAATGTAGTCAAAGGATGAAGCTTTAATCGGAATTTTCAGTTTCTTGAATCAAAATGGTGGCTTGCTTTTTCAATGTCAATGTCAGTGAACAACATCTGTGTTTTGTGTTCTGTACAACAGCACAGTTATCTACTTGGAGGGTAATTTGGAGACGAAGATTTTCACTGATCCTGTCACTGGTTTGGTTCGACGCATAAGAGAAGTCGCAATTCGTAGAAATGGTATTTAATGTCTCAACTCCAAGGAATCGATTTTGATTGACTCAGATTTAGCATTGTACATAGTTTCACTGAGAAAAAATCAGATCTTGATGATCTCTGTCTTTTTCTTCATGCAGGCCGAGTTGTGTTTCTAGGAAAAGCTGGTGATATGCAGCAGCCAAGTTCTTCTGAGCTTAGAGGCGTTGGCTACTACTGATTTTTAACCAAATAAAATTGTCATTACGGTACACAATTTTCTCTATTGTAGCTATTTCGTTTACTGTTGTGTCTCTCCTTGTAGCGTGTGATTGGTTTGTTTATTTAGTCGCCCTTTTACATTGCTTTTTTTTTGGGTAAATAAACCGAACCAAACTCAACCAATGTATTCAATTAAACCGAAACTAAACCAGAATCTCGATTGAAAGACAAAACGAAACCGAGACCAATCTCCACGTGTTTGCAAACTTGCATGAATGCCGCCACCTCAAAGCTAAATTCGTCTTCCATTTGTTCAACCCTTTCCTCTTTATGTTCCCTGTCACCCACACAAAAAGCAACATTCACTCTCTACAATGGCGGAAACGTTCTCGAGCGGCGAGGCACGATATTGGCCCATCTACAGTAGCAACACCACCGATAGCAACAGCCCCTACGCATCTCTTCTCCGCCTTGTCCGATCTCATTCACCAACCTCCTCACAGCTATTTGCTTACCTCGCTCTCTTCATCTCTAGCGGAATCCTCCTCTTCCTCCTCGGTGTAACCGTGACCGCGGCCGTGCTCGGCTTCATTGTGTTTCTTCCGCTGATTATCATCTCGAGTCCGATCTGGATTCCCGTTTTTGTCGTCGTTGGTGGGTTCTTAACAGTCACCGGTTTTCTTGTCGGAACGGTGACCGTGGTATCGTGGACGTACCGTTATTTCCGAGGAATGCACCCGGTTGGATCGGATCAAATGGATTATGCACGTAGTCGGATCTATGACACGGCTTCTCACGTCAAAGATTACGCTAGAGAGTACGGTGGATATTTCCACGGCAGGGCTAAAGATGCGGCCCCGGGTGCTTGACCTGAACCAGTCGGTATAATCTGGTTCAGTGTAATATTAACCGATCGCGGTTCGGTTTATGAAGGATGAACACGGTTCATTGTTGTATTACATTTTGTTGTTTTGTTTCCGTTTATATAAATATATATATTTGGTTATGTACAAGGAGGTCTTTTAAGATTTTGGGTGCGTGTGTTTCACTTGAAACGTAGTATTTTATTTTGTTGGCGTGTATTTTACATTTTTTTACGATAATTACATGATCATTTGTCTTTCGGTTATGTTTGAATAACAAATTTAGAATCACGAAAGTATATAATATAACTACATATAAGATCGCATTTTCTAAGAAATGCTTGATAGGATGATAAGAGTTATTACTATCTTCCTTGCTTATTTCATACGGTAGGGAAGAACATGCTACACCCTTGTTGTGTCCTTTTTCTTATAACGAAGTTTATTTTTATGATTTTATAAGAGTCTCGTCAAAGTTTGAAAAAACAAAACGGAACCTTGTATTTCTTATAAACAACTAAAATTGACTTACAACCCTAGTTATACGTTTTATGAACATGATAATTGTCTCTATCTTTGAACTGTTTTGTATTTTACTATTTTATAACAAAAGAAAAGGCAGTCGAACTAAATAAAAAGTAATAATAGTGTTGAGTCGGATGTTATGAGTAAATGAAATTTTATGCCGTCTCCAGAATAAATTATATCAATAAAAAAGAAAAGTGTCATAAATAGTCTTAGTTTGACAGGTTGAAAGGATCATTCGTTAACTGCTAAAATCTTGAATCAAAATTTTACACATTTACTTTAATAGAACTAGGAATACGAAGCGGAGTTAATCTGCGGTTTATTAAAAATTAAACAAAAATTTATTTAAAATAATTATAAATAAAATATATATAATTAAAAATGTAAACATTCAAAACAACTTATAATTATTAAAAGAAAAAGATATTTTCATATTTTTTTAATTATTAACAATAAGTTCTAAATGGAAATGTACAAACTAATTATGATAAAAATATGTAAATTTTTACAAAATTTTCTAGGATTGTTATTATTAATTATTAATAAAAAAAAACTGAAAATAACAAGATACACAACTTTTTAAAAGTGTTAAAAAGTTATATATGAAAATATACAATATAAATATAGAATATAAATATGAGATCTTCTACTTATATAATTATTAAAAATTTGTATTCGCGCAAAAGTGTAAAGTAAAAAATAAATATACAGGCAATCTTTCAAAAAAATGTATAAAACTATACATTTATTATTGAAAAGTTAGAAACAAAAATTTATGATAAAAAAATTGATATTTTTTAAAAAAATACTACAGGAAATATATGTAATAAAAAATAATGTAACGAGATTTTATAATACATCTTCTAAGACTACTATAGTTTCTAAAAAAGATTCGCAATATTAAAAAGTATATTACAAATATAATAGTTAAAATATAAAAACTTTGATACCTTAAAATGCATATATAAAATATATGTGAATTCGTTACATTACATAAATATATTTCTCTCAAATTAGAAAAAAGAATTCAAATATCAGGTACATTAAATTTATAAACAACTAACAAAAAATATTAAAATTTTAAAATAACATAATTAACTATAAATATATAGATTTTTTTCATAAAAAATAACATAATATATATTAGTAAAAAAATATATATAATATTTTATAATAAAAATATCATTAGATTTTGTTTGAATAAATTTTATTTTCCTGATGTAATGCATATAAAACAATTTTGTAATGAAACTGCTTATATTTTAGCCAAAGCTAAACCTCCAAATAGAATCTTTTACTATGATTCAATATCTGAATCTCCAGGACTTTTAAACATTTTTTTATCATGATAACATGTTATGATAAATAAATATGTTTACGACAAAAAAATTCACCATAGTAAGAAAGTAAAAGTTAGACCCAAATAATTTTTTGTAGTTTTGAGCAATATAAATAGTTTTAAAAAGATACAAATAAGAGTTGTGACCAAAAAATGCAACCATTTATAATGAAAATATGCAACCATTTATAATGAAAAGATGCTTTTGTGATGTATTAGTAAACAAAACACATAATTTCTTGATAATAAAAATATCATTAGATTTTGGTTGAATAAATTTTATTTTTCTGATGTAATGCATGTAAAACATTCTTGTAATAAAACTTATCATATTTTAGCCAAAATTGGACTCTCAAATGGAATTTTTTTACTCAAATTCAATATCCGAACCTCTATGAATTTTAAACACTTTGTATCATGATAATATGTTATGATAAATAAATAAGTTTACGACAAAAAAACCCAGTATAGTAAGAAAGTAAAAGTTAGATCCAAATAATTTTTTCTGTGATTTTGAGAAATAAATAATTAAAAAAACACAAATTACAGTTGTGATAAAAAAACAAAACTATTTATAATGAAACGATGCAATCATTTATAATGAAAAGATACAGCCACAAATTTTGAAACGACACAACTTTTAAGTGTAAGTGGCATTTATTCGGATTGTTTGCGACAAAAAAAAACCCACCATAGTAAAAAAAAAGTAAAAGTTAGACCCAAATGATTTTTATTATGTGGTTTTAAGCAATATAAATAGTTTTGAAAAGACACAAATAACAGTTGTGATGAAAAAACACAACCATTTATAATAAAAAGATGCAACTATTTATAATAAAAAAACGCAACCACAAATTTGGAAATGACACAATTTTTTAAAGTGTAAATGCATTTATTCGGATTGTTAAGAAAAATTTAAATAACATAATATATATTAGTAAACAAAACACATATAATTTCTTTATAATAAAAATATCATTAGATTTTGGTTGAATAAATTTTATTTTTCTGATGTAATGCATGTAAAACAATCTTGTAATAAAACTGCTCATATTTAGCTAAAATTGGACCCCCATATGAAATCTTTTACTCAATTCAATATATGAACTTTCAGGACTTTTAACACTTTGTATCATAATAATATGTTATGATAAATAAATAAGTTTACGACAACAAAACTCACAATAGTAAGAAAATAAAAGTTAGATCTAAATGATTTTTTTCTGTGGTTTTGAGCAGTATAAATAGTTTTGAAAAAACACAAATTATAGTTGATAAAAAAATCATAGTGAAAAAATGTAATTATTTGTAATGAAAAGATACAACCATAAATTTCGAAAAGACACAATTTTTTAAAGTATATTTAGCATTTTTTCAGTTTGTTATTATAGATAGATTGGTGGTTAACTGAAAAATAGTAGTAGTCGCCCCAATTCCATATAGATTATCAAAAGCTCCCACTTTAGCAGCTAACTAACGATTCATTGTGGGAGACTTCTTGATTCATGAACGAAGACAGTTTCTTGTAGCAGAAGTTGCTTTGCCCTGATTTAACATTGAAAGAATCAGTCATTGGAGATTCCAAATCAGCACAGAAGACACATACAACGTGACATTATGAATATAATTAAGAATATTCTCAGATAATTGGAATCATTTGGGCTGACTTGTTTGTGTTATGATTTGAGGTCAAAGTCAGCAGACAAAAAGCATCAGGCCCTCAAGTCAACACCCAAATTTGGCCGGACGTCAACAGTTGATTTGGTCCAAGTCATTTAAGATAACGATTATTTTGGCGTTTGTAATCATTAACATGGCTAATTTAATGCCATCATTGGAGCCTTTTTTTTATACCGCAAATGGGTTTCAAAGTTTAATCATTCCATACATAAATAAATACATACCCGCAATAAAAAGCTACAAATATATAAATACAACTCAAACCATATTTAGTCGCCTTTTCTCCATGGTTCCTATAAGTTACACAATAATATTGCGTTTGTAATGAACGGTTGAAACAGAGATACTTAATTATATTGGATCTTTTCATCACTAAACTTTTAAATTTGCCAAACTATTTAAGTACATAAATTACACAATAATATGCATAAAATATGTGATTTCATCTACCAATAACAAGGGAACAACGAAACTTCTACAGAATTTACCACTCACCTGATGTCACACCAAACAGAAAATCAATCAAATTCTCAAATTAAACTTAAATTTCCTTTCCCTTTGGGTTTAACAATGACCCGGCATAAGAACGGGTCGGGCGATCCGGCACCAAACTGGCACGTGGTGATCTTGGAGGCACTTCCTTTAGCTGCTGTCCACTACAATCGTAGTAGATCACGCCGGAGTGATCCAACGGCTCACATTTTCCTCCCATCAAAATCTCCCTCTGCCAAATGCCGTACTCCTCCTCCTCCTCTATCAACATCTCCACCGCCGTCTTCTTTGCCACCGGGGTACCTCCACCACCGTTGTAAGCTTTCTTTTTCCGCCCAACCATAGTCATCGCCTTGTTGCTTAAAGACGTCAAAAGCTCCTTAGGACGTACTATCATCGGTGATAGAGACCTTGCCGGACTCCATCCAATCCTTCCTTCTCCTCCTCCTCCGCGGCCGTTTCCGCCGGCGTTGGGGCTCTCAAGATAGTCTTCTAGGTAAGTTGGCTTACGAGTCGGCTTGAGTTTAAGCTTCTTCGAGACTCGGCTTGCGTGTCTAGCACAAAGTACCATGAGAGAGACGAAGAAACTCACGCTTAAACGCTTGTGCGCGGAGGAGACATGTTCCGGCGTCGATCTCTCCATCTCTCCGTCGTTTTCTCGGGCAAGTGAAAAAAAACAAAAGGGTTTAAACTCAAAAGAACGATTTTTAATGCGATTATTCTTAGTTTGAAATGGTTGAGGGATTACGTATATTTATATAAATACACGCGTTAATGTAGGTCCCTTAATGTAAAAGGGTGTGACCGGCTAATCCGGTAGCATGCGTTGACATCCTTTATTGTGTTGACATTTTCTTAATTTGTTATGATGATCTCTCGTATTCTCGTGTTATATAATATGATATCAAATGAACGATTACGATTATGATGACTTCTTAATATTAAGATCTTTATGATTGCATTCTAT